GGCGATCAGAGGGCACAGCGGGCGGCCGGCACCCAAGTCACGCCTTCCCAGCCTCGGGGGCGCCGCCCGGCCTGAGGCTGCCGCCTCCAGGAAGTCCTCCCTCCTGGGAGCCGGCCCCCGCTGGACCCTCCCCTGGTGTCTGCGCGGAAGCCGTGGCGAGGCGGAGCCGTGGGGCGCCCAGCCTGGCCCCCTGCGCGCCTGCTTCCCGCTCGCGCTTTTTCGCCAGCTGCCGGCGTTGGGGCCCAGGGCAAGTGAGTCCAAGCCTCGCTTTGCCGGCCTGAGCTACCCGAGAAGTTAAAAGCTTTTGCAGGAAGCGTTTGCGTTTGCAGGAGGCACGCTTCGGGCCCTTTGCTGGTCCTTGAAGGAGTGAAGACTTTGGGGATCCTCGGTGCTGGGGAGGGTGGGTGCCACGCGTTCTGTCGGCGGAGAGGAGGGTGCAGTGGACTCTCCCCGCGGCCCTTTGTGTTCATTAGGCGTCTGGGCCGCTCCTCCCTCCCAGGCGCTCTGGGCTCCCTTGACACCACCTGGGCAGGTTTGCACCTTCTCCCTTCCCTTTGCCAGCCCCTCTTCCTCTGCGCCCCCCCCCCCTTAAATGTCGTTATTCCCTAAGGTTCTGTCTCAGACTCTCTGTTCGGCGCTTAATTATCATCCATGTATTCCAAAACTTATGTCGCTGGTGCCGGCCTCATCAGCCCTCAGCCCCATATATCCACCTGCCCACCCAACCTCTCCACTTGGGTATCTCAGAGCATCCGTTCAAACCAGCATGCCTCCATCTGCATCACCCCCTTCAGTTCCTTTGTCTCGGGGATTAGTGCCAACACCCTGCAGTTACCAAGCTGGAAAACTTCTTCAGAAAGTTTCCTGACAATTGCCAGTCCAGGTTAGAAAACTTCCATCACCCTATTACCTGTTCCTAGAGGCCTGGTGCAGGATATTCGTGCACTCAGGGGTTGGGGGGTCCCTCAGCGTGGCCTGCGCCCTATGGCAGTCCAGGAGCCCTGGGCGGGGATGTCCAACTGCTAGAGGGGGGAAAGGCTCCCGCCAGCCTTGAGCCTGGCTCTGGGCATCTGGCTGAGCGGCTCTCCCCCTGTGGGAGCGCACTGACCACCAGGGGGCAGCTCCTGCGTTGAACATCTGCCCCCTTGTGGTCAGTGCGCATCATTGCCACCGGTCGTTCTGCCATTTGGTCAGTTTGCATATTAGCCTTTTATTATATAGGATTACACCCCTTTTCCTCCCACACCTACTTGCTTGTTGATGGCAGGTGTTTCATCTTGTTCACCTTTGTATCTTCAGGGTGCATCCCTCATTCAGTGAGTACACATGAGCACCTGTTATGTGCCAGGTACAGAGTTGGGCTCTGGGAGTAGAGACAGACCTGGCTTTATTGTGCTTTGCTTTATTGCACTTCACAGGTGTTGTGTTTTTACAAATTGAAGGCAACACCCTCCACCAGCAAAAAGGTTGCTGCTTGCTTTATGGTGCTGCTCCCTTCATTACAGTGGTCTGGAACCGAACCTGCAAAGGCCTGCCTGCGCAGCAGCAAACAAGACAGGAGTGAATGAGTGGGTGTGCCCCATCTCTCGGGTGCTCGGGGCGCTGTTATAAATGCACCTGAGCTCTGCCTCAGGCCTGGCAGGTCCAGTGCGAGGCCCTGGGCTCTGATGCCGGAGAGCCGCAAGCTGAGAAGCTCCTGGCCTTGCCCTCCCACTGTCCAAACCCCCCGTCCCCGTGAGGGCACATTGTTTCTGGCTTCTGGGTTATCCAGGGAACAGCAGGAACTGGGTGCTGATTAGTGAGAAATAGCCCAGCTAGAAGCTGAAATGTGTTGAGGGCTCCAGCCCCTTCTCACAGGCACCTCCTTGACATTACCCCTCCCCCCCCCCCCAAATGCTGGGAACTCTAGGTTGCTGTGTGTCACCTTCAGTCACTAAATGTGAGAAATTTATTTGAAAATTAACAAGCTTGCAGGCTGGATGTCCTCATTCTCCCCCACTCCACCGCGATTTAGTTCAACCCCTCTTTTATGGATGGGGAAACAGGCCTGAAGAAGCCACTGGCTATGAGGCAAGAGTACCAGAGTCACCACTTGAACTCTAACTGGAGTTCTTCTCACCATACTTTGCTGCTGCTCTTATTACGAGTTACAGGGAAGTAATAGGGATAATAAGTCAATGGAGTGCAGGTTGGGGGAATTAGTTTCCAGACACAAAGCAGAAGAGCTGTTTAGATGAACCAAGTTAACGGGTTAATTTTTTCACAGTCACTGCGGTGGGAATGGGCAAGGACTGGCCTCAGGGTTTTTTACCATACCCTTCACCCATAAAAGGGGAGCCCTTGGAGGCAGTGCCTGATTTTTCTGGTTTGATTGCAGTTCTACCCTCTGGCAGGCACAGGGTAGAGCAGTTGGTAAATTTCTGTTGAATGACCAGGCTTAAAGACTTGAGGAGAAGGGGGTTAGGAAAAAAGAGTCAACAATGTAGCAAGCACTTTCCTTGGGTTATTTTCTTTATTCTTTGCTACAGCTCTTTGAGAAGTGGTATTTCCCCCATTTTCCAGATGGGGAATTAAAGCTCAGGGAGAATAGGCGAATGACTTAAAGTAATTGGTTTGGATTTGAGCCTGGGGCTGAGTGAATTTTGGCTCCATTCTATTTCTTTGGTCATATTTGCCCAGGCTCTATGGGAATCATGCCCATTTTCCCATTCCCTACCATTTCAGACTATCCATGCAAAGAAACACGACTTTTGGCAAGACCTAGGTGAATTGTACACAGGGTGGCGTGGTGTAGGATAACTTATACCGTTTTTTTCTTTTTCAGGAATGATCACCAAGACCCACATAGGAGACCTGGGCCTTCGACTTCCAGAGAAAAACAAGAAGAAGAAGGTGGTGGTTAAAGAACCAGAGGCTCAGTACTTGGTTTTGAACAGTAACAGTTATAACACTGAGGTCTGTCCCACCACAGCCATATCACCCACGAAGAGTGTGATCCAGGGGCAGGCACCTGAGATCCCTCTAGTGAAGAAAAAGAAGAAGAAGAAAAAGAAGGAGCACAGCACCGTCTGTGAGGAGCACCTAGAACCTGAGACCACGTTCCGTGCCAGGCAGACAGAGAAGTCTCCCAGCCCCAGGACACAGGCTCTCGCTCCACCCAAGTTCCTCAATGGGGAGAAGAAAAAGAAGAGGAAGTCCTCATGGCCTCTGGCTCTGTCTCCTGGTGTGAGGGTGAAGACCTCCCTGGACCCCAGACAGGTCGAGGAAGTGACCAGAGTTGGCAGAAAGCTCAAAAAACACAAGAAGGAGAGAAAGGCCCAGGAGGTTGCAGCCTTCTCGGCCAGGGACACCCTGCACGCATGCTCAGTGGGAAAGGATGACCAGCAACGGGCAGCCTTGGGGCAGAAGAGGAAGCAGGGAGGCCCCAGGGAACACAACGTGAACAAGAAGAAGAAAACGAAAACCCACCAGGAGGAAGACACCTCCCTTGGCCACCCCAAGCCCTCCAGGTCCATGGAGAGCAGCCCTAGGAAAAGATGTGCAAAGAAGCCAGTCAAAGGTGAGGCTTCAGAGTACATCCCAGTAGGAGACAGCCTCAAGGCCCCTGCGAAGAAGAAAATGAAGCCCACTAAAAGGGCTGAGGAGCCAGGCACTGAGGAGCCAGCTCTGAAGAGGAAGAAAAAGAAGAGGAGGAAGGAGAGCAAAGTAGCAGAACTTTGGAAGGAGGTAGGTTGTCCTTCAGGCTGGAAGTTGGGAGTGTGTGTGTGTGTGTGTGTGTGTATGGATGCGCACGTGCACTCAACTTTTTAGTGTAAGAACCTTGTTTAAACTGACTTAAGCCAGAACAGGGATTTATTGACATGTGCAACTGACTTCCTGAGAGGTGAGTCTGGCCAAGAGGAGGGGCTCCGTTAATACTGACTGAAGGACGAACCCCGGGAGCTGGGTCAGCAGGAAGGTGTCTGTAGGGCCTGTGCTCAGCTCTACCAGGTGCAATTGGGAAGGGTTGTTGTCATTACAAAGGACCAGGGGAAAGGGGCCGGCCTGAGGTCTCACCGTCAGAGTCCCTCAGAGGCTGAGGCCAGTGAGCACAGCCATGTCAAAGAGGCAGCCAGCGAGGATGTCCCCTGGGAACTGAGACCTGTGAGGGCTTCGGCCTTTTGTGCAGCTGAAGCAGCAAGTACAGAGGCCCTGGCAGAGCACAGAGGCTGAGGTGGCGGGGGCTCCATGACAACCATGGAGGCCGCAGAAGTCTGGATTTTGTGCAGGTAAGTTGGGAGCCCTAGGAGTCTTGGGGAGTGGTGACATATTCTGACTGAGGTTTTTTTAAAGAAGATATAGTTGACATAAAGTTGTGTATGTTTAAGGTGTACAGCGTATTCTGATTTAATTTTTAAAGCTCACCTGAGTTGCTTATGGGATGGACCAAGGTTGGGGGTGGGGAAGCAGGAGTTAGACACTCATGGTTTTCTAGGCAGGTGAGAAGGCAGCAGCCAGGACCTGTGGGTGGGGGTGGGCGGTATACAGGAGAATTTAGTAGGCTTGTGTTTGCTGGCAGCCCCACTTCCCACACCCATCAGGACCCTGAGCCCACGTCTGCATTTCCTGGCCCTTGCTATGTGCCCCCTCTCCCCTCCCACACACACACACACCATAGATGGGGCCCTTGGCCTCTCACTGGTTTGGTGTCACCCTGGGAGGTCAGGTGACTTGTGGCAGGAAAGGTCATGCACCTAGCCTGAGTTGAGAGTCCTAGGTTAGTGTCAGCCCTGCCCCTGATCTGTGGGGGTGACCTCATGATAGTCACTCCACCTCTCAGAACCTTAGTTTCTTCATCTGTCAAATAGGTCAGTGCCATGGTTTTGAGGGGAGAATCATGGAAGAGAAAGGTGTCAGATATTCTGTAGGTGATGGGGTTTGGGGTGGTGCTGGGATCTTGGGTCTTTTCTGGACTCTGTCATGATCTCACCCGGCAGGGCTACTGGGGCAGAGGCCAGCAGATGCTTGACTCTTACTCCCTTTGCTCTCCTGTGCAGGAGCCTGACACAGACCTAGAGGTGGTGCTGGAGAAGAAAGGCAACATGGACGAGGCACACATAGACCAGGTATGGCCCCATCCTCATCCCTCTCCCATGTGTCTTGCCACGCCCCTCCTATCAGGCCACAAGGTCCTGGTCTCGGAAGCGCCCACGACTCCAAAGGCTGCCAGGCCAGCTTCCATGGCCCACCTTCCATTCGCGGAACTCTGCCTTCTCCATGTCGTGGTGGGAGTCCCTCACTGCCAGCCTGGCTGCGGGCCAACTGGTGATTCGGAGCCTCAGGGTGAGGCTCTCCTCCCTGTGCTCACTGCATGGGGAGAACCTAAAACCAGGGCTGGGAAAAGGACTAGCATCCTTGAGAAGCATCCTTTGGTCTTCACCTATATGAGGGTCAGTGAGGTTAGTGACTGCCCTAAGTCACCTCGTTAGTAATGGGTGGTTCTCAACCTTCCTAATGCTGCGACCCTTTAATACAGTTCCTCATGTTGTGGTGACCCCCAACCATAAAATTGTTTTCGTTGCTACTTCATAACTGTAATGTTGCTACTGTTATGAATCATAATGTAAATATCTGATATGCAGGATGTATTTTCAGGGGTCGCGACCCACAGGTTGGGAACCACTGGCTAAGGCCAAGTCTATGTGGTACTTTGCTGTACTGCCAGGGTTGTGAAATACCCCAATTCCAGAAAGTCTAGCTCCCACTTACTTATCAGGAGATTGGGGCTAGACAGGAATGGATGCTGGCCCACACCAGAACCACTTCTCTCAATGCTCCCAAACTGAAGCCAGGAGGTGCATCATGTGGGCTGGTGCACCCAGCTTCTTTTTAATTATTAAATATATTTTTATTGACTTTAGAGAGGAAGGGAGAGGGGGAGAGAGAGAGAGAGAACATCAATGTGAGAGAAACATTGATTGGTTACCTTCCATATGCACCTCAACCGGGCATTAAACCTTCAACCTGGGTATGGGCCCTGACCAGGAATTTAACCAGCGACCTTTCAGTGCATGACCTTTTGGTACATGGAACTATACTCAGCCAACTGAGCCACACCGACCAGCTTTTTATTTATTTACTAGAGGCCTAGTGCACGAAAATTCGTGCAATTGGGAGGTGGGGGTGGGGGGGGGGTGGTCCCTCAGCCCGGCCTGCGCCCTCTTGCCGTCCGGGAGGCCTCGGGATGTCCGACTGATGGCTTAGGCCCGCGCTCCATCACCGTCCCCTCCCTCTGCCCGCTGGCCTGGTGCCGCCTGCTCACCTGCCCCCCCACCCCCCACCCGCCAACCAGTCTGTCCACTGTTGCAGTCAATTTGCATACTACACTTTTATTATATAGGATTTTTAATGTTTTTATTGACTTTAGAGAGGGAGTGGGAGAAAGAAACATCAATGATATGAGAGATAATCATCTATTGGCTGCCTCCTGCATACCCCCCACTGGGGATTGAGCCTGCAACCCAGGCATGTGCCCTAGCCTGGAATTGAACTATGACTTCCTGGTTCATGGGTCAACACTCAACCATGGAGCCACACCGGCCACACTGTACCCAGCTTTTTTTTTTTTTTTTTTTTCACTCATCTGTTGGGCATTTGCATGGCTTCCATATATTGGCTATTGTAAATAATGCTCTATTGAATATAGGGGTGCATATATCTTTTCAAATTAATGTTTTGGATTTCTTCCTATACCCAGAGGTGGAAATGTTGGGTCAAAAGGTAGTTCTGTTTATTTTTTATTTATTGTTTTTGTTAATCCTCCCCCAAGGATATTTTTCCATTGATTTGTTTTAGAGAGAGTGGAAGGGAGGGGGAGAGATGGAGAGAGAGAAACATCAGGATAAGAGAGACACATCAATTAGTTGCCTCCCACATGCACATTTCCCCCCTCCACACACCCCCTACGGGGCCAGGAATCGAGTCTGCAACTGAGGTACCTGCCTTTGGGATTGAACCTGAGACCCTTCAATCCGTGGGCCAATGCTCTATCCACTGAGCCATACTGGGTAGGGCGAGATAGTTCTATTTTTAATTTTTCACCAACAACTGTTTGTTAATTTATTGATGGTAGCCATTCTGGCACTTGTGAGGCGATAGCTCATTGTGGGTTTTTGTTTTTGTTTTTTTTAAATATATTTTATTGATTTTTACAGAGAAGAAGGGAGAGGGATAGAGAGTAGAAACATCGATGAGCTGC